GTGGAAAATTCGGCTTTGAAAATTCGCCCAGGGGGGTGTTTTTTTTTGTTTAATATCGGGTAGTTTGGGCCACAGGGGGGGGCGCGGTTTGTTCCCCCCCCCACGTTTTTAAATTCACCACTTTCCGGGGGGGGGGCTTACGGGTTTTTTCCCCCCTTTAGTTGTTAGCCCATGGCCCACGCTTCTTCGCCCGGGGGGGGGGGGGGGGAGGGGGTTCCGTGTGTGTGCACCTGGTGATATCTTCACTACTACTGCTGCTGTGCTGAATGTCGGTCCCTTTGTTCTAGAGATGATCTATCAGACGATAAGAAGATGTTCAGCATATCCCCTCGCCTTCCGGGCCGCTGCCTGCCGTGCATACGTACGTGTATGTGTGTCGAACCATGGTGATGACGCCGCCGACATGTTTGACGTACTCCCACGCGCGTGTGCTCGCCTGTTTGTGATGTGTAGGGAGAAGGGAGGCTGCTGAAGCACCAGCGGAAGCATCCGGAGGAACTGCGGGCGGTGATCGCCATCACACGGCACGGTGACCGGACTCCGAAGCAGAAGATGAAGATGAAGATCAGCTTCCCGGAGTTCCTGGCGTTCTACAACAAGTACTCTCCAGGTTAGTGTGGGTTGCTGTGGTTTGGTTGTTTGTCGGCACGATGTGCAGCGGCGGCTGGCTGACGCTGGTGTCATATTCCGTATATGACACAAGGCAACACACCCCCTGGAGCAATTTTCAAAGCTCGATTACGCCAACGACCACGACGAAGAGGATGCATAATAAATGAAACAATACATTTTCGGAAGGCTCTCGACGAGGCAGCTTCCACGCCACCGTTTCCGGCGCTGTGACTCTTTCTGCTGTTGAGAAATGGAGATTTGAACATTGGTCTAGGGGGTGTGTTATCTTGTGTCATTTACGGTAGTTTCCTTGTTAACACGCGGAGCGGGTCGTTGATTTTGCTAACCGTTTAGTCAACGCGTTTCACGTGTAGGTGATGCTCTATGCATAGATACGGCAAGGTCTAATCAGGCTCGTTACGTTGGAAGGGTTCTCGATTTTTTGTGGCACTCGTGCTCTGTCTCTCTCTCTCTCCCTGTCTCCCTCCCCTCTCTAAACGTGCATGCCGTACGCGCCATCCGGTATGAACCTGGCGGTGAAAACCTTGCAGTCTCATATTTTTCGAGATATTGGCAATAGCGCACGCTGGTGATGCCCGGTGAAGAACCCAGCTCTACATGTTCTAGATTGGCGTGGCTGTTTGTGTGGGTGTAGAAGAAACGAGAGCCCGTGCTTCCCGCGAAGTAAAAGGATAAGTGGTGGTGCTGCCCACTGCTGTCTCAATATCTCTCTGCGGGCATGTCATGTCGTGTTACTTCCGTCTTGCCTGCCTGTTTCTTGCGGCCTACTGCTGCTGCTGCTGCTGCTGCTCGCTTGACAGGTCCGCGAAAGGAGATCAAGGTGAAGGGAAAGCTTCACCTCAAGGAGTTCCTCGGGATCACGGTCAACCTCATCAACACTCTGGTGAGACCGTTGGAGGGAAAAAAAAGAACAGAATATAAAGATGTACTCTATGACGTTCGATTTACCCACACAAGAATGATTACTTGTGAAATTTTTTATCCCTTGCTTGGTCTCGTAACTCTTCATGATGCGTGTTCTTGGTATTCAAACCGCAGCCCGCGGTAGCACCAGGAGGAAAGCCCTGAACGCCCATCATGCCGTTTACCGTGGAAGAAACCGTGGCTACGTCTTGTTCCACACTTGGTGTAGGCAAGAAACGAAGAACACCTTTCGGCCCCTAACCGATGTTGAACATTTCATAGCCCACGCCTTCCCCACCCCCCCCCATTTGCTGTGCCACCATTCTGGCCTGGTTCGTGCTCGTTACGTCTTTGATGTATCTTCCCCCCCCCCCAAACAAAAAATGTAGCGCATTGCCTCGACGCCATCATCGTCGTCGTCGTCAAACGGCCAGCCCCCAGAGCGGAAGAAGGCGAAGACAGGGGGGCCCGCAGGTGGTGATGGTGCAGGAGGGACCGTGGGTGTCCCCCCTCCTACCTCGGCTGCGGCCACTCCCTCAACTACCGCTGAACAAAAGGCGGTGGCGTGGTCAACAGAACCACCAGCATCTGGAACGGGAGAAACAACGGGAACAGCAAAAGAAGAAGACTCAGCTATGGCGGAAGAGGGGTCAGGATCAGCGGCGGGCGCGGCAACGAAGCCAGCGTCGGCGCTAGGCACGCCGCGAGAGCCGCCGCCGCCGCCGTCGCCGCTGCCGCCGCCGCCGCAGCAGCAGCAGCAGCAGCCGGCAGAGCCTACGTTCACCGAGGTAGACGCGGAGACCTTCGGGAAGCTGACCCAGATCAAGCACGTGCTAGAGCGCTGGGAGATCTCGGGGTTCAACCGCAAGCTGCAGCTCAAGCCGCGGAAGTGGGTAGAGGTGGACGAGAGCACGCTCTCGCCAGAACCGGAGCAGCGGGACAGAAAAAAGCCGAAAAAAGCCGGGAAGAAAGCGGCGGCTGTAGGCGCGACTAAGGCGGGGGCCGCGGCGGCGGGTCGGTCGGCAGACGAGCACCACGACACGATATCGAAGGGTGCGGGTGCGGCCAGGCGTAGCGACGGCGGCGGAGACACCCTGAGAAAGGGGGCGGAGGAGGGTCCTTGGGAGGAGGACGCGACGGAAGGGGGCGCGGAGGGGAAGAAGAGGAAGCCCGAGAGGGCGAGCCAGCTGCTGCTCATTCTCAAGTGGGGCGGGGAGCTGACGAACCTGGGGCAGCGGCAGGCGATCGAGCTCGGAAACAGCTTCCGGACGATAATGTACCCGGACGCCGGCGCCGGCGGGTTGCTTAGGCTTCACAGGTGACTCTTTTGGCTTAGTTTTTGATTTGTTATTTGGTTGCTGAGGCTTCACAGGTGGCCCTTTGGGCAGTGTCTTGGTTGTGTGTTTGATGAGGCTTCACAGGTGATTTTTTTTGGCGTTTTTTTGTATGATTCGAAATCGGGTTGCTTGGCTTCACTCGTGACTCTTTGGGCTGTGTTCTGCCTTGTTGTATGGTTGCTTAGGCTTCACAGGTCGTTTTTTGGCGTTGTTTTACGATTCGAGACCCCGTTTTAGGCATGTACAAAAGTATATACGAGGACCCGCTGTGGTAACGTGATGAATCAATGCAACACATGTATTGGGTTTGGGACGTGGTTCGTTTTTGTTTTGGGTACTGTATGTTTTATTTTTCAGTTTTGGGGACGCAATACGCCGGAAACAGCAGGAACGATCGGAAATAGCACCGGTTGCTGAGGCTTCACAGTTTTTTTTTTTGCGTTTTTTTCTTTGGTTCGCGCTGTTTTAGGTCTGTGTACGCCGGAAACAGCAGTGACGAGATGAAATAGCAGTGGGTAGTGGTTACGGCAATGTAGGTGGCGCGTAAATGACACGACGTGCCTGTCACCGTCGCAACTGTTATCCTATCCGCCCGGTAGCAGCAGCAGCAGCAGCAGCAGTGTGGAGTCTGGTGATAATGGTTCGCAACGGTAGTGACGTTTTTTCTCCTGGCCCAGGGGCTTGAAACACTACCTTCGTATGCACAACAAAACCCAAAGAACCCGACACTGCTGTTTTGGACGGCGTTTACGTTGTGACTGCTGTTAGTTTGGTTCTTTTCTGGCATGTTTCGCGGCGCCATCCTTCACCAAAGCTTGATACAACAGAAGATTCAATAACAACGCCGTTGTTTGCTGGTTTTCGCTACCTGTTATTGTTTATATATTTTCCGTGCCTATTATATTGCGCAGCACTTTCCGACACGACCTGAAGATCAAGACCTCTGACGAGGGAAGGGTGATGAAGACGGCGGCCGCGTTCGCCAAGGGTTTCCTAGAGCTGGAGGGGGATCTGACGCCCATCCTCGTGAGCCTGGTCAGCAAGGAGAGCAGCAAGAACAGCAGCGTGATGATGCTGGACCCTTCGGGGAACAAGAACATCACCAAGGACATGGACCGCAGGTTAGGGTGAAGATCGTTGGTGGGGCTTTTGTGCGGAGAGGGAGGTGGGAGGGGGAGAGAGAGACAGGGAGGAGGGGGGGGGTGTACTCATAGTCGTGAATGCCGTAGTCGTTAGACCGTTGACCTCGCATCCCTACAAGGCCGGGACGGAGCACGCCGGGTTCTCACCGGACCAGGCTCTCACATCACCAAGCGCGAAGCGCCGTGAGGTATTTGGCGAGTCGCATGAAGGGTGCGCTGCATCCTGCTAAGGGTGTTCGGCATCTTGTGCTTACTTCCTTGCGTACGGATGACAGCTGTGTATGACCTAATTTATTTTCTGGTGCTTTCACTTCCAGAGACAGTTGTAAGCACTGTGTAACTGCCTCGAGGATGCTTGACCATTTTCATACAACGTGGTGCGATCATCCCCCTTGCGCGGAGTGAGGGTTCTCCACCCCGCACAACATGATCTACTCGACAT